TCACTTTATCCACTGAGGGTGGTGTCTTCAACCATTTATTTGTTCGGACAATTTGCACACTGCCACTCCAAGGGCTGCTGTTTTGACTCCAGCTCATAGTGGTAATCCCATATCTTGTTTCTCACAACAATGCACTCCAGGAAACTGTCATCTTCAGCTTCGTATTGGTTCAGTAAACCTGCATACAGTGCTCTTTCTGTTCATGTGTGAGCACTTGTGGGATCCACCTGGCACAAACTTTGCAACATTCCAACATCACCACCATCATTTCCAACACACTGAAGCCAGTATTCAGCTTTTTACACAGTTCCCTGATTGTAATCTGCTGATTCACACAGATGTGCTGATCAAGACTCTTCATTCTATGGTGCAACAGCTGTGCATGGTCTCTTTGAAATATGGTTTGTCTTTCACATTGCTGCCATTACTGCTGAAAAGCACCACTCACCGCCTCACTGTGCTCACATTCACTGTTCAGTCTCCATCAATGTTCAGCAAGTGTCAATGAATGTCAAGGACACTAGTTTTTTTTTTTTCCCCCCACACAGAGGAACTCAATGATGTACCTTTGCTTCATACATCCTTCCACATCAGATGCCATTGTCAAATTGCCCCTCTGCTGCCATCAGTCACACAGCAACAAAACGTAGCAGAACACTGACAGGAATGTTTAACCTCTACTGCCATACCCTCAACATCCACCTCTGACATTGTGGGCCAACACAATATAATGCAAGGTGTTACCTTTGGAGCACCCATCGTATCTCTGCAGGCCCACAGATGCCTTCGTACAAAATATATAGAAAAGGTGACCGCGGCCTTATGGAGCATTAGTTCCACTCAAGTAATGTGTGTCACATCTGGAAGCAAAACAACCATGTTACCTTTCCACAAGGAATTGTGTTTAATACATATTTTTCCAAATATATTAAGTTCCTGTGTATTTGTATGCTTTGCTGTCCTCCTAACCTACATGCTCACCTCCTGTGGCACTGCTGTTATCATGGGAGTGTGGTTCTGAAGTGTCACCAATTGCTGAGATCAAAGTCGGCTTGTAAAGCTTAAGTCTTGTCTCCTTAAAGGATTTAGCTACTGAGGTTGTTGCACAGAACCCACTTGAGCATGGATGCTCCTGCTGACCCACTTACCAGGAATACTATTGCTCCTAATTGTAGTATAAGTACAGTAATACCCGGAACTGGATTAGATTGAAGATATGCTCTAAGAGGGTAATATGTCATTTGTTCTAGATTTGCTTCCTGCAACTCAGAAAAAGTTCTAGCTTAGAGTCCACAAGTAGTAACATATGCTTTTACTGAAGTGTGCTGACGTGTAGGCCTGAAAAGATAAAACTAACAAAAAAAATATGTCTAAGGATAGCTTTTGCTCTCTGAGAGAAGAGGGTGCTCTTCCCCACAAAAAGGACTCGATCGAAAAGCGAGTAAAGACTCCTGAGAAACTGCACATGACATCAAGTATATTCCCACTCAGAACTTAATTGTTAAATCACGTTTCTCATCAAGGGGCAAGGGCAATAAAATACGTTGCTGTATTGGCTTAACAGGCAATCTTGTTCCTTTGTATCAGTTTTAACCATTGCACAAGCTCTAAGTCATCTAGACAACTTTAGATGACTAATTTACCAAGCAGTACTTAGAAAACATACTTGAAGCTTCATGCCCTAACTACTTTATTCTCCTTTTTAGTTTTCTCCAAGCCTGCAGACAAAGGATATCTCAGGATAGTATGAAGTCACTGCCTAATGTTGCTGACAGAAAGCAAATTCTCAAGTACCCTGTCAAGAACATTACCCTCTCAAATTTCCTATTTTAGTAATACGCTTAGGTGACAAGATGGCGTTTTCCATCATTTTCCAATGCTGAACAAGATATCTGATTTTATTGTCACGATGCTGCTGCAGTAGTATAGTCCCATATTGCCACATTGTGCAACATTACTGGTTGCTGCAGTGAAAAGTTTTCCATCGACACCTTATTCAGTTTGCTGAGAAAAGAACGTCACTTAATGCAAGCACAGCATCAGAAGACCATATTTTGGCTAATCCCACCTAACAACTTTTACTGAAAGATTCCAATATCTGTGACTGTATCTTTAAATGCTAAGAAAACAAAAACCACACAGGTAACTGATCACTTAAGCAAGCTGCCACACTGGAACCACTACATAAAGCTTGCACTTGCAGTACGCACACGAAAGTTTAAATGTCTGTCCACGTACCACATATTTACCACAACACAGAGGTAAACTCCAAAAAGCTTTTCTAAATACTGAAATACAACCAAGTTGCTCATCCAGTAGTATATTGCTAAGCAGTGTAAACACATTTGGGTTCCCTATTAAGCTTTCCAAGCCTGATGTCACCAGAAGCGAAGAATACAGCAAACTGAGAAAGCATGAAATCAATCCACTTGTTGCTTTCCAAACAGCAGATATGCTTCAGCTGCAACTCTAGCAGAAAGCTTTCCAATACAGGTGATGACAAAAACCTGCAAAGCCTCACATAAGTACCTTTAGCAAAACATTAATTATCAGACATCAGTTCAAAAGTTCGCTATCAAGCTCAGTCTTCCTAAAAAAAGTTAAATCTTGAAATCCAGACGAAGCAATAAAGATAGAATTATCCTCAAACCAGGTTTGAAGGCACCATAACAATGGCACAAGCCTAATTGCTTGAACACCAAAATGACTCTCAGCATCTTCTGTGACATTGTTTCTGCCTTCACATAATATCTGCACTTGGTAAAGCTGTCCAATAGTTTCAACCAAAATTTTCTAGGTGTTTAGTCACTCATTCCTGCACCACTCCACATGTTAGTGTTGGTGACAGCCTAAAACAAAGTCTTCCAGATACAACACAGGTATGTCAATCCATCTCCTCAGGTTTGTTCTGCTGACATTACTAGCACTGCTGGGGGAAAGTTGGGAACATCAGCTACTACTTTCAGTGACCACAACAAGACACCAAACCACAGAGATCAGTTAGTGGCTCCTGACTGTAATGCTCAACAAGCAGATTATAGTACAAGACCTACCTTTTAGAAATGCAATACTGCAGTAATTCAAGTTCAAACTACTTTTGTGCTGAAATTTTCATATTAGCAATATAGTTTGTATCCATCTAAGAAAAAAATAATGGACGATAGCAAACATTCTGCATGACTTGCAGTACCTGCTCTGTAGCCTTTGGCATGCAGAAACACAAAACTCACCTTTACAGTTCATGATACCCATCAGAATACACATCAAGGACACAATATGTACAATAATACACAACTGGAAAGGGCATAATCACGTACTACAACAGACAGTTTTGTATACCTATGCACACAGATGCATGCAAGAGAGATGAAGGAGGAAGTGTTTACACAGTAACTGGATTAGCAGGAAAAATAGAAGGTCACTGTATCACTACAGAGTACCTTTGTTAAGGTCACTTCTAGCTCTTCCCTACAACAGGGATTCAAGGTTTCTACCCTAAATAGGCTACTTTAACCCATCTGCAATCCAGAAACCTGGCCTTCTGTTTTTCTTTAACCTCAAGGACTTTAGTTGGATTTTTATTTTTTAATCCCAAGCAACTCCCTGTAATTCTCAAGGACATACCAAGGCTATGACTGCTCTTTCGCATTACGCACCTTGGATCCAGCAACTCCAGATGCTCAGACTCGTGGAAAGAAAAGACATAAGAAACTTATGGCACTAGAGCATCTTACCCATCAGCAAGGTAAAAAGCTGCATCCTTCTTTCTGCTAAGAGGGTAGCTGAGGCCCTGATAATCACAGCATAACGTAACACAAGGCAGCTAGTCCCAATTTGTCCTTACACAGAAGCCAAACTTAAGCTACAGTTGCATTTAAGCTTATTCCTCCTGCCATACAGATGTATCCTGGAATTTAATAATAGCAACTAGAGAATGACAATTTAGCAATGCTATAATTAAAGCAGCATCCTCTCTAGTATCTTTAGGTCTCAGTTGATTTTGCATTCTTAAGCAAAATTACACTAAGCTGAAAACATGGACCTTTACTACCTGAAGATACATACAAGGTTTTAGATTTATCTGAAGACTTTTAATAGCCAAGGCAGATGTCAGCCTAAGCCTCTTATGCCAGAAAGGCACGTACACTTTGTGGTATTCACTAAAAGCAGAACTTACACTGCAGAGCCTGAGTGAATGTGCAAGAGATCAGTGAGGTCTCTACTTCAGGCAGTTATTACTGAGCAGCTTCAACGATGACAGCTACAAGACAGCAGACTCAATCACAAATTACAGAGAAAGGTCAAATCATGGAGGTTGTCTTTCCCAACCCAACTTATCCCCAGCAGTATAGACTGCAAGTGCAACCTGCCTCAGGTCCCTGCTAGCCACAGGCACTGAGAGTCCTGCATATACTGTGTTTTTCTGCCCACTCCTCCAATGTCCTGCTTACATAGACAAACATCAGGAATGAGAAACACAGCAATAGCTTCACACAGCTTTTCCTCATATACTCAGGAGAAAGCTAGGTTTAACCTGGCCTGTCTGCTAGGTTTGTTTACACACTCTTTACTGCATGCTGAGAGCACTGCAATCCTGAACACGAACTCCTTTCTCTAGGTAGATCCACCCACGTTACACCTCCTCAGCTGAAAGCTCACCCTCTTCTAGTGACATGAAATCAGCCACACAACGTACGTCCTAGAGGAGTATTTCAACCCAGCAGCAGCGCACCTCGCAGCGCTCGTTCCCAGTTATCTACAGAGAGCCGTGCTGCGGGACCAACTGCCGCTTTATCAGCCCCCAGCCCAGCGGCGGGGCCTCCCGTCCAGCCGAAGGAGGAGCCCACCGCCCCCGGGCTCCCAGACCGAGCCCTGGCGGCCGCCACTAGCCCCGCCGAGCCCAGAAAGCAGCCCCGGGCCGCAGGGCGTCCCGCTTCGGCCTCACGCAGCCGTGCGAGGCGCCAGGGCCCCGGGTGGGCCAGGCCGGGCCGCGCCCTCACCTTGACGCGGATCTCGTAGGTGGTGAAGCGGCCGCGGCCCACTCCCACGGTCTGCGGGTTGCCCACGTCGATCTCTAGGAAGTTGCTGGGAGGCCCATAGGCGTCGTTCAGGTTCTGCGGCTTGCTGATCAGCCGCCGGGTGTCCGCGATAGTCTCAGCCATAGCGGAGCGGACGCCTTCGCACCCTCCCGACGACCGGCAGGACACGACCAAACTCCCTAACGCGGCCGTCCTCCGCCGCCCGCCCTCTTACCACCCCGCGGCCAGCTGACTGCCCGGCAACGCGGGCCCACGCCGCCGCCAGCGGATGCGCCCACCGCCCGCGCGCAAGGCAGCCTGGGAGCTGTAGTCCGCAGCCCAGCCCCGCTCGCGGCGCCCCACCCGGTCGCCCGCCTTCCGAACTACAAGTCCCGGCGTGCGCGGGGCATGCGTGTTTCGGCGGCTGAGAGAGCTCGGTTCCTCGGGCCCGCCCGTGGCTGTGGGTTTTTAAACCAAAGGGAGGTTAGTGATTACGGCAAAAATAATGCTTTACTCTGAGCTGGAACTTCTCACCAGCGAGTCTTAGCACTGTGCGTAAGGATGAGGGATCCAGGATAAGATACATTAGCCAGGAACATAGCTGAGGTGAAGCGTTATGTCTGGCCAGCAGTTCTGCGTTGCTGTGGAGGCTGTGAGGGAGTTCTGGAGGTGTTTGTAAATGTGTGGGCAACGTTAAGAAAAGGGCAGTGGGCCTGTGGTTACGGGCTGGTTTGAATTAGCAGATGACGCCTCAGTAATGTATGCACAATTGTTTTTCAGGTGGCAAATGGAGGACTATAGAGACACTTGACAGTTTTCATAATTAAAGTATGAGAACAAGAAAGAATCCTTGTGACAGCATTGCCAGTAGGTGTGGACAAAGATGTCTGTACCAAGATGAAGGAAAAAAATTCTGTTGTTGTCATTCCATATCACAAAATGTCAGCTGGGAGGCTTGGGTGGGCCATACCCAGTGCCAGGAATGGACCAGAGGGACCCCAGCAAAGGTCCTACCTTGAAAATGGAGCCTGGAGGATGGACAAGGCCATAAAGAAAGTGGTAATGATGTCTGCAGTAGCCTTAAGGCTTTTAGCAGTGGCAAATCCTTCAGTTTTCACAAATGATATGCACTTATAGCATTATAGCCAACTAGCTCAGATTTGATAGCTTACAAAGCTAAGAGTTTGTTAACATTTCATTTATAAGGGGTAAGAAGGGAAATTTGTATTCCCAGAAAATAAGTGTACTGGAGGTTAGGACCTTGAAGAACAGTTAACAGGGGAGAAAAGAATTAGATGGGGAAGTGTGGCCTCTACAAAGACATAAGGTTATCGCTGCTTCTGTACCTGACTCAAATACCCAACTCAACCACTGGCAAAAGAAGTAGAATGTTTGCCTTCTGCTTCACCGAGGACTCCAGTGAATGGTAATTCTATTGCCTCATTGCTAATACTTCTAAATGACTCTTATAATCTTAGAGATTTTTATCATCTTCCAGATTTTTGATTTAATATCTGCTAGCAGTATCCCTGCAATGAGAAAATGCATATTTCATTTTCCTTCACTATAAAAGTGGTACAGCACTCAACTACTAGCTGGGTAGAATGAGTTTGTAGAAAAACTAGTTATATTTTTTTTGTCTAAGAATTTGTGTCTAGGCAATAGTCAAAATGGCAGGTTGCCCACAAATCAGATTCAAGAGACTCAAATTTCACATCCAGCGAGTTTGGATAACAGTTGTCTAGAATAAAAAGGTAATTAAGAAGCTCAAATGAACCCAAGTTACAAAAATAGCACATCCACAGAACGAGAGTGCTGTAGGTGTTTTGCTTGGTAACTTTTCTCTGAATTTCCTGCTCATCACTCCTCCAGTATAATTCTTGTCCTTACTAGTGCACCTTCCTTATTTTTACTGCTAATAGCTGCTAACTACTCACTTTTTAATTGTAAACAGAAATTAAGCTGACAGAATTTTACAGTGTAACAGTGAAAGAAAGCCTTATTTGAACTAGGTGAGTTATTGAACTGGTCTTGCAACAAGGCAAGAAAATTTCATGCATTCTACTGAGATTACTCGTATACACTTTTGCATACACTTTTGTTTGTTACACAACTTGTGCAACCACATCTGACTGCAAATATGAAAATAAGACAGAGTACTGCTATTATCTTAAGTATATATTAAGTAATATATTGCCTGACTGGTTTTATTATCTATTCAAGATAACATATAAGTGCACAATATTGTGCATTTGGGAAGATGGCAAGCATATGAGGAATGATGAATAGAATTTGTTCTTATGCTGAGTAAATACTACTGACAGTGAGCCTTAAGTTGACTGTTTTCTCTCACAGCTGGGAATCAGATCCTCTGTACTGGAAGACAAAGGGGGAGATGCCCTGCTTCAAAACTAGACCCTCCTTGCATATGTGAAAGCACATATGCCACACTGGCTGGCTGATGCTGCAGAGAGAAAGGAATGAAGGCAGGGGAAAATTAGACTCCTTTGAGTCTGCTTCTTTCTTTCCAACACTCAGAGGATGTGTTTATTCTGAATTATGGATCATATTTTTTGTGAACCATGGAGCTCTGGAATTACACTGTCTGCAGTTCACTACTTGCTGCAGTGGTTTATCTCAGGATGGAAAAGGTGAATCATAAATTCAGAAAGAATGTTTTAATTCTATTTCTGATGTGAACTTTGGGCCAAATTTCAAATCTAAGTGGAAAGAGGTCAGCTGTGTTTGTAGGTCCAAAGATTATATGCAAGAAATCAAGCATTTAGACAAACAGCCAAGAGATTAGTAATTCATGGATTTGTTGCCACACATTATTTATTCAGTTAAGATTTTCTTGCATAACTTCAAGTAGTGTTATGAATACTGGAGTTTCCTGGCATGTACGCAGAAGCAAGTATTAATGTATGATTAATTCTTAAGTTTAGTATAGAGATACCTCTCAAGTAGTTGTTTGTTTTTAAAAGAGAAAAAAAATTGTATTCCTTTAACTGGGTAGGAAACCAAATCTCCATTACCCAGCAGGGGTTCCCCAGCCTTGTGACAAGCTCCCAAGTTAATACAGTTTAGTCAACACAAACATATTTTGTCAAAACTTCTGAAGAATGCTGACCCAGGATAAGCCATAGAAGAAAAACTGACATAAAGCATAGAACTAATTGTGCAATGCTTTATCTGGAAAAATGACTTCCTGATACCAGTGTTAGTAGCATCAGGATGTGATATTTAGAGATCTACATTTGGTTCTTATCTTCCACATATAAATATCTTGCATATATATATATAACGTGTTATATCCACATATATTAACTATTGTATTCAATGCCTCTTCTCTCTTTTTACCTGATATTTTTCAACACAGATGATCCTCTTATATACTTTTAGATTTCTTATTGTTTAAAATGTCATCCACCAACTCACAGGTATTTACTTTGTGAACCCCTTGTTCTAGAGAAGCTGAGTGGTGCCCATGTAGCTGGAAAGTTGCACAGTGAGCTTCTAACACATGAAGCTGAGTGAGCTGACTGAAATGCAAGCTGTAAACGGACGGATGTGTAAAAATAGCCCGAAGTCCATAAGTTTGGGAAAATTTTTACAACTTTAACAATCTTTGATTTGGTAAGCAGCATAAACTATCTATTGCATATTTGATTATTCCTGTATAGACAAAGCTAAAATCAAGTTTACCTCAGACTGTTCTGTCATAACTCTAGGAAAATGGCATTTGATACAAACTTGTGTTAATAAAAACAAACCACAAAATCCATTTTCCTACAGTAGGGTGAATGACTTCTCTTATGTCAAAAGTACATGTATGTATTGGAGCCAGACATGTTTTCCATGATAGAAGCATCCTGGAGCCTTCCTGCCCTCCTGAAGGAACTCAGAGGAGGTTTGAAAAAGATCCAAAGGTCTTTAGACACAAACATCCTTGTGGGTTCAACACACTCGATTTTCCAGAGGAGTGAATTTTGTATCTCCATAGGATAGTGGGGTCTTCAGAGGGGTTTTATTATGCCCCTGTTTGTATTCCTATTTAAGACCACTTATTATTTCATTTAGCTTGCAAACTAATAATGGTACTAAGTTAAGCAAGCATCAATCTAATTCCATCATCCTTATAACTTTATTTCTCTGGAGGCATGAAAAGAGATGAATACAGCAAATGAAGTGTACGAACGTCCTATAGAATGGATCTGTATCTGTTACAAGGCATTAACCATGACGATCTACAGATTATCCAATTCTTGTTATTTTAGGTTAACAACAAAATGTGACTTTGCCAAATGCAGATTCAGCTCCCAGGGTGTTCAGTACAGTGGCACATATCATGGCATTTCAGAGTTTGCTATGTACAGAAGCACTGTAAAAAGTTTTTTCACTTAGGTAGAGAATAACAGAACAAACCCAAATGGGAAGTTTTTCTATACTGTCTTGCATAACAAGGTCAAGCAGAGAATCTGTTAAGACAAAAAAACAGTGCCAATTTAAATAAATCAGATGTTTTTGCTGAAGATTATGCTGTCATTTTCTCCAATTATTCTTGACATTTCACCCAATCGTATTGTGATCTCAGTTAATAATGGAAGAAAAAGAACGGCTCTCGTTGCCTTGTTTATGCTTTGTTCTCAAGGAGATAAGCTGTTTATAAGGATATTTGTTATTTAAATCACTTTTACTGAAGTTGTTTGTTTCCTTGTTTGAGATTCTAAAAATATTGCAACAATTGTGATGCATCTTTGAAACGCCTATTCACTTCACTATGATTTGTACTGAAATTCATTCCTAAATGGGCACAGGTGTTGATAGCTAGAATGAGTCAAAACCAATAAGTTCTCAATAGAAGGAAGAGGAAAGAAAATGCACTGAGAACAGCTCTTTTGAGATATGATAGATTGCATTTTAGTTCACCACTTAATTTAGATATGTAGTGTTGACGATGTGCCTGGTGCAACTGCATATTTTAAAACAATTGACCATAGAATTACTGATTAATCATTAAGGTTGGAAAAGAATAGTAAGATCATCTAGTCCAACTGTCAGCGCATCCCCACTGCGCCCAGTAACCATGTCTCTCAGTGCCACATGTTCCTTGGATGCCTCCACGGACAGCAGCTCCAACGTGCTAGAAAATAACTTCAAGTATCATCAATATTTCCAAGATCATAAATTTTATTTTAAAAACATTAGTAATACTGTTCAGTAGAATCTACTTCTGTAGATCATGTTTGCAATCAGTTCTACAGTGCCTTGATGTGATATTTTGCTCCCTTCTTATGTAAGAAGCCCTGTTGAATAGTGTTCTATGATAATGACTTGTTCACTTGCTCGTGTTGCACAGAAATTTAACTCTAGAGTACGTTATAGGAATTCTGATATTGAAAAGCCAAAAATCAATTCATGCATTTCTTTCATGCTTTTACTGTGAGCAACATCTGCTGAGTCCACATTCTCACACGTGGGTGCATTTGTGACAGGAACAGAGAGGCAGCCAGCCGCAGGTCAACGGTAGGTTATTGGCTCCTGACTGCCAGTGCCCTTTTATTAGAGTCTACGCTTGTCTGTTTGTTCACTGCATTGTGCCTTTCTGTCAAGTTACCTGGCAAACTGAAGCCGGTGGCTGCAGCGCTGGCACTCCTTGCCCAGCGCCCGGCTTTCCTGAGGCACCGCAGCCGGCGCCAGTTGCAGCGCCCTTACCCCGGGACTCCATTTCCCAGCTCGCCCCGCGCCCTCCGCCGTGGAGGCCGCGCCGAGAAGATGGCGGCGCCCGTGTCGCCCTTGGTTACTGCGCGCTGCCTGCTGCGGGCACCGGCGCGGCGTGCTGTCCGTCTGCTGCCGGCACGGGCCCTGTCGAGAGGTCAGTGCCGCCGATCCCGCGCCGTGCCCGAGGGAGTGCGAGCCCTGGATCGCGGTGCCCTGGAGGGGGGAGCCGGGCGGGCGCGGCGCCGCCGGAGAGGGGACACGCTAGTGCCGGACTCCGCCTCGAGGCTGCCGGCGGAGTTCCGTGCCGGCTCTGTGCGGAGGGAGAAGGTGGCCGCTACGCCTGGCTGCCCTTGCGGGGATCTGCCGCGTCTTCCCGTTCTCTGCGGCCTGCACCTCCGCCCGGCCCGGGACCTGCGCCGGGCTCAGCAGGCCCTGTGGCTTCTCGGCCAGCCTAGACTGCGGCTCTGCCTGACTACTCGCTTGTCTCGTTAACTCTTCCTCAGAAGGGTCCTCTCATCTGTCACAGCAGTTGAACTTTCACTCGTAGCCTGATAACGTCAGCATAGTACATAAATTCATAGGAAAGCAGATTTTGCTAGCATGAAACTTAGATTAGAAGCTGAGGTCATTTCCCTTTAGTAAGAGCTCTTCCAGAGCAGTGAACACGGCCACAAGCTGCCAGAGTTCAGCGGTGTTGGAACAGTGCAGACATAAGGCTTGGATTTTGGGTGGTCCTGTGTGGAGCCCAGAGCCAGTGTGGACTCAGTGATCCTGCGGGTCATAGGAGACAAATAAGCATTCACATACACGTGTTGTACTGTGGCTGTACAATGCTTACATCCTAAGGCAAATAGACTGAAAAAAGATGTGCTGACTAAATGAGTGTTACAGTTAGTACAATTGTTGTGTTTTTATTTAATTGTGATATTGCTTCAAATCTTTACATTTGTGTTCTTTTTTTAAGTCAGAGGAAATTTGGTGACTTTATCTGTATTTTTTTTGGCTTTGCAGGGATGGGCAGTGATCACTGAATTAATTTATAATCCTGTTCTTGTAATCAGTGTTTTCTTTTTTTGTATGATCTGCCTGCTGCACCTTTACACCCTTGAATGGCTTCAGAATTAATAACTGTGAACAGTTTACCTGACAAACTTTCCTGTCATTCCTACTTTCACCTCTAGCTGAGGTAATTAAATGGGCAGTGCATGGAAATAGGACAAGAAATATGATTTTCCTCGTAATGTCACAGGTACCTTTGGAAAAATCAGTTCTACTGTAACACTCATATTCTGTAGAAGTTTACACACAGAATATATATATATTCATATAAGAATATTCATATAATCAATGGACTGTAGGAAGGCTAAATAAGGTCTAAGTGATCAATCTAAGTTTCTTCTCATACAAGGAAACAAAGATGAATGGGCAGTCTAAGACCTTGTATCTTACTTGCAATTTGCCTTTTATGATCTGAAAAGTTTGTAAAAGTTGCTTTCTGTGACCTTGCTGTCACCCTCCAAATTCTAGTGTTTGTGAAAAGCTCTTAAGGCAGAATGAAGTCTTCAAAGTAGCAATGAAATGCATGTGCTTCCTGCATTGGCACTGGCTTAGCAAATGCTGTTCTAGCTTCTTGATGGCAGCTGGGTGATCTTTGGACTGTGGACTTTGGTGCACTTGTAGTCCCCATGGTGAGTTTGAGAACTAGGTATAGTTCTCAACTGCTGGGAGTATTTTCTGTCTTGAAGGCAAAGAACTATTAACCACTTGAGGAAGTTATTATGGGAAGTGGTTGATTCCCCATCTCTTGTGCCTTTGCAGTGCACTTTGCTCAGAATGTGTAGTCAATCACAATTCACAGGCATAGTTCAGAGGTGATTAGGTGAATACTGGTGTTCCTAATACTTAAAAGGTCTGTTGTTCTTAATCTCCAGGAAGAGTATTTGTGATCCTTCTCATAGTGGAGTGATTTGAAGCATACATAGAGAACAAAGGTTAAATGCATTTTAAATCCCTTTTAGGATTTGTTTCCTCTTTGATTAACTTTGAAAATTAATAATACACATTTACACAAGTACTGTATATGGCTGACAATCTATTAAGTGAATGCTGTTATCTGAAGCTTGATTTACCTTTTGCAATAAAAGGAGCTAGGTTCCATTTCTTTGACCTTTGCTTCTTTAGCCGGATATTATGTATCTTTTTTTATTTTTTTCCTTTTTTCTTTAGATTTTTTCAATATTTCTTTCCACTGAAAGTTCTAATCAGACGTTTTAAAGATGCTCTGTTCTGTAAAGGATTCTGCAGATCAAATTTGAATTAATCTGTGGAAATAAAACACTTTCTCAGTAATGAATAATCATTTTAAACACGAGATCTTCTCCCCATAAGTTTGAATTTATTAATCTATGAATTTTCAAATATGGAAAAAATGAAACATGGGCAGGGAAGCCCGTGTTATTTTGTAGGTTCAAATTATATGATTACATACAATTAAGAGAGGGAGAAAAAGGTTTGCTAGGGTGAGTGATGGTTTGTCTCAGTTACCCTTCTGACTTATCAACCTCCTGGCTTCTGTCAAGATCAGGTTATGACAGGCCACAATCCAGCTTCCATTTCAGATTGTCTTCTTACGTAAATAACTCTAGTGCCTGCCTCAGCTGTGAGCTTTGCACTCAGAAGCATTGTCATTGAAACTTGCTTGCCTTTTTCCAATGTCATCCCAGACATGAGTTCTAAGCGGCAGAAGGGAAGGTTGACAATGTACTGATTAAGTTTCTAATTTGTTGCTCTTTTCCAGAGCAGAATGTCTTTGAAGTTAAGAATGCTTTTTATTTTTAGATTTTGATGCTAGCACTTATCTTTGCAGTGATAAATCAATGCTAGTTTACTGAAGGTAACTCTTAAGTAACTCACTTGAAGGGAATTCATACTTTCAGATTGGCATTTACATTATTTTACATTAAAAAGTTTTTGTTGTCTTTGAGTTTTTTTTCCCCCTCTTATTTCTCCAAGATTTCTCTCTCTCTCTCTCTCCCCCCCACCTCTTTTTTTTCTTTTTGTTTGTGTTTGTGTATCTCAGTAGGTTTTTGTTGCAGCTAGGTCTGTGATGCTTGGACAGGCAGGCAGAAAGGCAAATGCAAGCACCTAATTTTGTGGCTTGAAGTGAAATGAGATAGCCCTAATGCTTCTGTTTCAGGAACAAGAATTCAGTAGAAAATTGCAACCTACTGGCAATTCTTAAATCGTAGTGAATGTTAGGCAAAACATGATAAAATCCAACACTGTCATGCACTCTGGGAGTGGAAATTATGGCTCATGTCTCTAGTTTTACACTGGTTTATGTAAAACTGAGTAATGAATTGACATTGGGCTTTTCAGTACACTTATGTGGATACACAAAATGCTTTTTCTCTGTGACACTGGAGTGTTTCAGAAGAAAACTAATATAAGCAAGTAACTTAGTATAACATGAAGATGTGAAACAGGAAGAGGGTTTTTGCAGTATAGAGAAGTCTGCAGGACTAGCATTAATGTGCTGACTTACATTAGGCAATTCTGTTCTAAGTGTCCTTGATACAAAACTGTATAAGGAAACTGTCTGGTATTCCTCTGCTATGTATTAAAATTTCTAAAAATTCATTTTCTTTATCTGTACAGGAATAGATTATTCTAGAAGCTGTAGTGTGCATGATTTTTGCCGTCTGCTCCACAAGGCAGGTGAGAATGGAAGACTCACTTGTTTGTCTCTCAGTATAGTTTATCACTTGAGTAGCTGTCTTCTGTTGACTTCTCTTTAAAACTCATACATGCTTTATGTTCTCTTTAGGGTCTATGACTTTGCTCTACAGCGACACATTAGAATTTATCACTTACCATTTACTGTGTGTTTCCCGGTACCCCTCACCATATTTAAATCTTGGCATTCAGTATTATTTTAGGAGAACAGTGAGCAGTTTGTCCCACAACACCCTCTGTCATCACTTGCAGTCTTCATCCCTGTCATCTGTTGATGACGTAGTGTTTTATTCCCACTTTATTTCCACTTATGGTCAGCTGTGAGTACATGTAATCTGACACAGAAGGCATGCATGTGAGCAGCTCTGCTGCTATCCCTTGTCCAAGGCCAGAAAGGTAATGAGCCACAAACCCTTTCTTATCCCTAAACCAGCTTTTATTTTTTTTTCTCCTAATCTCATGGTAAGCAGTGGGAATGCAGACTTTGCAGGTTAAGGCTGGACCCTTACATCAGACCTTTCGGAGCCATTGAGCTGTATGTGTTGTGAAGACAGTAGTTTGGAGGTGCAAACCACATGACTGAGGCTGAGTTTATGTAGGAGTAAATATTTGGAAAAAATGAGATGAAGGTGAACTTTGAGAGATCATCTATCTGTTTCTCTTCCCATTATCTCCTTCTATTTGAATTCAGATCCCATAATTGATAGATTTTCATCAAGATTGCTCTTAAAATTCTTTTTTCATCAGTTAACCCATTTCACTGCCTTAAGTAGATTTACAGTCTTATCTCTAGATAGGACTCTGAGAAAGCTATATGATTTTCTTTAGCCTTCTGTAAAGATGTTATTGAAATTTTTGCAATAACGGATGTTGAACTCAACTCTCTAGGTGATCTTTTTTTCTGGGGATGAGCTAATTACTTTTAATTTGCAGCAGTAACTCAGTTCCTTTGGGGCAGGAGAATTTGGTATACTTATTGTCTACAGTTGTAAATATTGGCTGCCTTGCTTTGGAGAAACTGAGGTCTTTTCAGCTCTTTTGTTTTATAACCATATCCATTTTTAAAAATTTCACGCTTTTCTTGTGCCTCTCTGAGCGCTGTTACAACTTCTCTGTGGTTTGTGACCCTTGGTATAACAAATACTAAATCACACATTTGTCAAGGCTCTGTTGTGTTCATACCTTTTATGAAATGTGATATGAAAACCAAAGTGTATTCTAGGATGGAACATGTCGCTATTGAGTAGAACAGGGTTGTTTCATGAGTGCTTATGTTTTTTGTACTTCTATGAGCATACGTTCTGTGATTCTATGATTCTGCACCTCAGAGTACTTTCTTCTTTCTTTACTCTCTCCTCAGTAGTTTTGTGATGATGTTTCACTGCCAGTATAGCCTTGGATTGATTGTTTTCTGCGGAGTTGCTTTTTAGATGGTCAATGTCCATCTCTAAAGTTCAGCTAACTATTCCCCAAAGAACAATGCTTTGTTGCAATACATTCTATTTGGTGTACTCTGCCTTGCATTCTGGAGTGTGCAGCCTCCCCTCCTGATGATCTTACCTGCAAGCCCATTCTATGAAGTTCTATTTACCCTACACAGGTCATGGATGGAAATTCTGAATTGCACCAGATTGAGCTTCTGAGCCCTCTGTGAAACTGTTGAAAACATGCGTGTAGCTTAATTGTAGTAGTTATTTATTACCTACAGTTTTTTCTAGTTTGTTTTGTACTTGCTCAAAAGTTATGTCACTTGCATCTAGCTTTCCTACTTTATACTGACAACACTGTGTGACCTGATGACAGAATGGTTGCTGCGATTTAGAACGTTTTTCCTCTTTCTACCGAATGTATTACATGGTCAGTGGGGAAGACTGTTGCTCTCACACTGTTCCTGAGGAGTTGATGTTGCCTCTCATTCATCACGATTTACCTTAAGCACGTTCTAAAATAAATAAATAAATACTCAGGATCTGCTTCTACTAATTCCAGTATTTTTTGTGGGCTTCAAAACTGTGTTGACTGATCTATGAATTTTGGGATTTGTCTTCTTAAATGTTAGAACCTTTCTAGGTTTTTTCCTAGTTTTTTTTTTATCTGAACCTTGCTTACTATCCAGTAGTTCTCAAATCAAGCTGCTGGAGGCTGTTGGGTTGTTTGAGGAGCTTACCTTAAGCATTTGAGGATGGCTTTCATTAGCTCGAGCAATGTTCGAATTCTTAAACATTCTCATTAACTTTTGTCATTGATACATCTTGTGTTACTCGTGATAGTTCTTACTTTCAAATGATAACATAAACAAAGAAGGTATTAAACATTTTCTCAGTGTATTCTTTTGTTAGATTTCTGATCTTAATGATTTAACAAGCCTTCTTTGTAAGACTTTATATTCTTTAATTCCTAATTATAGTATTGTATCTCATTTTGTGCCTGTCAATTCTGACTTTTTTCTTCTTAATCTAAACAGAATTCCTTGCCATGATCCTGTCTCTAAGTAGAAGATTAAGCCAGCAAAGTGAACTGGGGTATTTCAGGGTTTCAGAGTTCCTGTGCTGCTGACTGTGGTCTTTCACTCTTTAAACTTGCTTACACACAAAACTCCTGTTTTGGTCTCCTGTTTGCCATCTTTTAAATTCTTTCTTTCAGCATGCCTCTTTCTAAACGATTCATCTGTTCAGGAAAAAAATGCTGTCTGTCAGGGGTTTTAAATTATTTTACCCCACCTCTGCAACAGGTATGTCAACACTTCCAACGGCTCGTTCAGCTTCCCCACTGAGCACTGTGTGTATGTGCTTTTTATTAATAAAACTGTTAAAACATACTACTGAATGTATTTTGTAGTTAGTCGTGGATTAATGAAAAACAAAGGCATAACACACTTGTGCAGCAGTCTAGGTAAGTAATGTATATCAGTCTTTGCATGAACTGTTAATGATGTTCTATGTTTATGATTTTAAGACATTTTCGATTTTAAGACTTTTCGAAACATCTCTATTAATAGTCTGTTTTCTATTTTACAGCATATGCAACTCAGGCAGAGGATGAAAAGGTGGTTCTTGGTACGCTTACGGATGCTAATTCTAGAGCCTTACTGGTTTGCAATGGACCTTTAGAACATTATGACTTTCTGATTAAGCAAGAAGAGCTGAAGAATGATGAACAGCAAAGAAAAGTTGTGCAGCACCTGCAAAAATTGCACGACAGTCTTAAAGGCTACAGGATCAGCTCAAAAAATTTTCTCTCAAAGGTGAGGTTGATGATGATAAATATATTTTTGGAATTTATATTTTCTCATAAGAATGTGCTTAAAAATATATCAATGTATATCATTAACCTAGTCTTATTTTTGCACTGGGCCTTTACAGCTAAATCTTTCTTTGTATTTGGGTCTGCAACCCGATTGCATTTTTGGAGGTTTCTTTTCAAAGCATTAATAAAAAATCAGGCTCACACCTGTTGTATAGTACATAGCAATGACTTCTAAGGACCTGCTGTTTCAGTTCAGGAACTTTTCCCTGAAGTTTTTGGCACAGTATTTTCCAGAGCTACTGTGGCCATACTTTTCATATCTTGTTCTCATGCTGTTATTTTCATGCTCTTGCTCTTGTGGCCTTGCACCTGCAAATTCTGATAGTGTTGTTCTCATGGGAAGTGGCTAGAACTGGTGTGAGAATGTTTAATCTTCCTCTGCCTTCCATGTCTCTTGTTTTGTAGACTTTAGTTTATGTACCTGAAAACCAAACATAGTGCACAGCAAGGTATGCAAGTTCTTAAATCCTAGATAAATATTAGTCAGTAATATATGTGCTTAGAAGCGGAATGACCAGTGAATGTGCAACTTGTGCACCAGATCAGTGTATTTCAGCATGAAGTCATAACTGGGGATGGGGGACAGAATTTGGAATTTGAGTGAGTCTCATTTGGAAAAAAGTATCATACAGGGAAAAAGCGTAGAAAAATACTCATTGCCATCATCATAATCTTCATTTTTCAGGCCTCTTGCACTGGGGAGACATCTCCCATATCAACAGCTTTACTGTTTGTTTTTTTTTTTTCCCAGTCAGTCACTGAGAGTTTTTCCTTTTCTTTCTCTCTACTGTACTACTTTTGCTTTTTATTTTTTCAATAGCAATACATTGACTGTAACAGCTGAAGTTATGTCATCAACTATAGACCCTTCAATAAGTCTGTCAACCTCTCTCAGCATCTATTATACAATGCACTTCATCTCATGGGCATAGAACGATATGACTAGCTGTTGGACTGCATGTAGTTAGTAAATTTGCCATTGCAACCCCAAATTATTCAATTACATGGCACAGTACTGTATTGTGTTTGTGTGATAACCCTACATGAGCTAGCATGAGATTAGAGGAGCCAAAACCTTCAGGGCACAAATACCTGTAAATGACATGCTGTCCTCTACCTTTTAGGTACCAAACCACAAATTGCCCCTCCAAGGCTCTTGCAAATTGTGTTAGCTTTGAGGAATGAAAAAAAGCAGCAAACAGAATATTGCAGAGAGAGCAAGTACTATGCAAATGAAAGTATGTGTTTCAAATAGCGAGGTACAGAGCCCTGGGTCTCAATACTCATGTACCAGCCTGCCTTCCATTTGCCTTGAATGTTTTAAACTTGTACTTGTAGCTGTGTGTCATGTATCTGCTAATCATGCTTGACTGGGAATTCTACAAATGTCTTCCTGCCTTCTGACAAAAGGTAGCAGACTAGACACCTAGGAAGGAGCTCTTTTGTTGTTGATGTACAGTGGAAAGAAAACTGAATGAGAGAAATTTCCAAGGAGCAGAAGTCAGAAACTTTGGAAAGAAAAACATGAGAATGATGAAGAACAGGGAGTGTTCTGAGTCAAGTGCTGAGGCAAGATTGATCATAGAGATGGTTGCCTTGTCCCCGGAGACATTCAAGGTCAGGCTGGGCCAGGCTCTGAGCAACCTGATCTGGCTGTAGATGTTTCTGTTCATCGAAGATGAGTTGAACTAGATGACCTTTAAAGTTACTTTCCAACTCAAATGATTCTTTGAAAGGAATGAGTCTTTGGAAGTTCTGTTTTGAAAAAAGTTAATAAAACTTTGAGCAGGGAGTTTGACCATACAGTCTCCTGAGCTTCCTTCCAACTTAAATCATTCTATAATTTTAACTTAGTTAAAATTACGTTAGTTAAAATTAACTAAGTTTAACTTAGTTATGGTAATTGGAGTCCACCAATTGTTTGGAGAATAGTTTTGTCTCCTCCAACTAGTGGATTAGTTAATCTCAATACTAACCTTTTTACTTAGCCAGCTGGTGAAAAGAAGTGATTCTCTCACTATATTTAGCATTGGTGTAGTCTCACCTTGAATACTGTGTGCAGTTCAGGGCCCCTCAGTGTAAAAAAGATGTTAGTGTCTTGAGAAGCACAGCATGGCTGGAAGACGTGTCCTATGAGCAGAGGCTGAGAACAGTTGAGTTGGCTCATCTGGAGAAGACTGAGAGGCAACCTCATTGCTTTCTGCAATGAGTATTCCCCTCCGAGGAGGAGAAGAGAGAGGTGCTGGGCTGTGCTCCCTGGTACAAATGACAGGATGGGGATGGTACAAAGCTGTGCCAGGGAAGTCTCAGGGCATTAGGAAACATGTATTTACTGTCAGAGTGGTCAAACACTGGGACAGGCTTCTGTTACGGATGCCATGTGCCTCTCTGTGTTCATGAGACATTGGGATAATGCTTTCAATAACATGTGTTAGCTTTTGGTTAGCCCTGGAGTAATCAGGATGTTGGATTTGATGACCTTTCTGGAAAAAAAATTCAAAAGTTATTATCTTTGTTATTCAGAGCAATCTTATGGCTCGTCTATAAGATAATCTGTTTTCCTGTGAGTGTAAAGAGATCAGGCTGGATTCCTAAACCTATTTTGCTGGCCTGGCACAGACAAACTATTTCCATAAGCGTAATCTAACAGGCTATAGATTGACATTTGAAGGGTACTTAATGTATAAAGTTGCTCTTTATCAACACTGTACAGCATGAACTGTAAAAGACGAAATTGCTTAAGAGAAAACCAGTTATTTGGCTTGCTCCTATGTAATCCTTTGGGCATAAAGCCAAACTTTCATTCATTTTCATTCTGTAGAAAAAATGTGACGAAGGTTTTGATCTTGGTGTCTAACCTGAGAATCAGTAGGCTAGCATTCTATCTTTCCTGGTTAACTGCTTTGGACATCTGGATATTCTTTTCTAAAACCTCTCCCTTTGAGAATAACTTAGAGAGCTGACTTGTTCACTGGAGTGCCCCGAATCATAGTGGTTGTGTCTTACAATGACTTTGTAGATAACTGCTATGTGGGCTTGTTGTTTACCATTTTTTTGATTGGGAACCATGAATAGTGAAGAAAACATCTACTGCAGACAACAAAGTGATACTAATCTTATTCTAATTACGAGATTGTGATGCTACTTTATCCCTGTAGCAGAGCTAATCATGATAAAGCCACCTAACTGACTTTCTCCAAAAAGGAAAAATTCAAATACCATTGTTTTAGGGTGTGAACGTGGGCTTCCTCTAATTCTAAAGGAATCTTTTAATTGTTTCAGTTCCACTTTTTAATTAAAAATTTCTAAAGTTCAAGTTTAAAGCTCTGTGATACTGGCAGCTAATGTCATCTTCACTGAGATGAAGCTGTAGAATTACTTGTTAATGTGACAAGTGATAGTGTAGAGGTTTTTCTTCTAGTGCTTGATACCTGTGTGGAAGACTTTAGAAGTTTGGGAACCAGATTAAGCTATGTGGTGTCATAGATCAGAACCCTGGGAAATGCAGAGAACAGTGAGTTTTGTGTAATTCTGTAAAGGCTTCTAGTCTGCATAAATATATTAAATCACAATTTGTGATGGAGAAGTAGTAATGTCCTTGTTTCTCTTCTGGTACTTTTGAGGATGTTAGTTGTCAATTGGTGTAGTTCCTTTTAAAATAAAGTCTTAAGCCAAACAATGTGGTTTAAGTTCTATTTCAGGACAGGTTTTGCTTCAGTGAAGTTGTAATCAACATCCTTAATAAAAGTTTTCCCCAGAGTCAGTTACAACAGAATAGTTTGTAAAATCATAGACAACAGGCTCTATATGGGTTGTAGACAGTGATACCATGTGCTTTTCATGTCTGCATCTGTTGAAGAGTTTAAATAAGCCTTTGGACTCTCCTCTTGTGAAGACCTTTCACATTGTAGCTTTACGTGCTACAATACAGTACACTTGATCTTAGCCAAAAGGAAAGCCGAGGCACAGGTGGAAGTAACTTGGTGAGATGTGAAAAATAACAAGGATTCTACGAGTACATAGGTCAGAAGAAACAGGTAAAAGATAGTGTACCCCCTCTGATAAACAAGAGGGGAAAACTGGCTTCAACAGACATGGGGAAGGCTGAGGTACTCGATGAGTTCTTTGTTTCCATCTTCACTGGCTATCAGGCTTCTCATGCTTCACATGTCCCTGAACTTCAAGGAGAGGGTTGGGGGAACAAAATCCCTTTGTTAGAGCAGAGCAAGTTCAGAGATCAGCTCATGAGAATGTATGTGTACAAGTATGTGGGGCCAGGTGGTGTGCATCCCACAGTCCTGAAGGCACTGGCTGATGTGGTTGTCTAAGCCGCTCTCCATTATACTTGAGAAGTCATGGCTGTCAGGCAAAGTCTCCAGTGACTGGAAACAGGGAAACATCACTCTCATTTTTAGGAAAGGAAGAAAGGAAGACCAGTGGAACTACAGGCGGGTGAGCCTCACTTCTGTGTCTGAGAAGATCATGGAGCAGATCATCTTGGAAACTGTTAAGACATATGTGAGATGAGTAGGTGATTTGAGACAGCTGGTGTAGCTTCATCAAGGGCAGATAATGTGTGACAAATCTGGTGGCCTTCTCTGACGGAGTGCTGGCATTAGTGGACAAAGGAAGGGCAACTGGTGTTGTTTACCTGGACTTGTACAAGGCCTTTGACATGGTCCCACACCACATCCTCATCCCTAAATTGGAGAAATACAGATTTGAAGGCTGGACTACTCGATGAATAAAGAATTGCTTGGATGATCACAACCAGAGAGTTCTTGCCTACAGCTCTGTGTTCAGATGGACACTGGTGATGAGTGACTTCCCCCAGGGGTCAGTCTTGGGACTGGTATTCTTCAGCTTCTTTAGCAATGATCTTAGTGGGTTGAGTGTTGCAACTGGTGTGGCAGAAGGAAAGGATACCATCCAGAGTGA